GCAAAGGCTTTCTTACTTTCTCGAACGAAAACACCCTTTCTGGAAGCCAATGCTGAGCGCTGGAAGTCTGGGGAAAAATCCCCCTAAACCCTAATTCCCCTAAACCCTAATTCCCCTAAACCCTAACCCCGAAACCCCCTGAACCCTGAAATTCCCCTGATCCCCGAACCAGACAAAAGAACTCCGGAGTGCCTCCGGGTTGTCCAACTTCAAGTTCGAGTAGAGCCTCAGGTGGAGAGCTTTGCTTGAGAGGCCCCGGAAAAGACGGGCCATGTGGGTTTTGGGTTTCGGGTTCTGGGTTTAAGGTTTCGGGTTCTGGGTTGTGGGGTTGCATAAGAAGATAGCGGGATATGTTGTGACACAAGTGCTTGGGGTCTTCCGCCAGACCTACACATTCTTCCAAAGCAAAGCCGCAGATCCTCGACTACCTGCGGCTCCAGCTCTACTAGGGGATATAGACCTTCTGAACAAGGTCCGCTCTAAGAGAGCCAGACGTGGGGTTGAGAAGGGTCCCCTTTCAGGGGTCTCCCTCTTACTGCCTAGGAATGAAGCGTGATCTCTATCGTCATAGCCTCCGGCTTTTTGTTGTAGATTGTAGGTTTCTGGGACCTTTGGGAGGGCCCTGTAGGGTTTAGGGCCGAACCTGAACTCCCAGACTAGGATTCCAAGCCTGCGGCCTGGGATTCCCGAACTTCTTGTCTAAGATTCCGATCTTACTTAAAGGATCATGGGACTTAGTAACTAGGGTTATAATTCTCGTAACTATGCTTATAACTTATAACCCCAATTAGGGTACTTATAACCTTACTTACTAAGTCCCATGATCCTCCAAGTACGGTCTAAGATTCCGATCTTCGGGTTTTGGGGCTTTGGGGGCGAGCGTAGGGCTTCTGGGTCCTCGGGACTTAAGGCCTTTAGGGGATCTGGGCTGGAGGGCTATCCAGGGCTCCGAACTTCCAGCTCGAAACTACATCGTCATCATAATCATCATCATAATCATCATCATAATCATAGTCATAATCATAATCATAATCATAATCATAATCATCATCATCATCATGTATGTTTTTTGTTTTATCATGTTTGAACTTCACCTTCGTGCACGCTCGTACTCATCTTCGTTCGCTTGTTTACCATCACCGGCATATATAGCCGCCTTTCTGTCATATCATGTCCAGGACAACTGCTGTGGCCTCCCGTGCTGCATTCTTGTGTAAGCTTGCGACAAGCGTCAGCCGTAGGCTGGCATAACGCGGCTCTTCAGTTGTTGAAACTAAGTCTCCTGTTGCTGGCTAGGGCTTCGGCGTAGGACGCGAGCTCAAAGTCCCAAACTCAAAACCCCAAACTCTGCTGTCCCACACCCTAAACCCTAAACCCTCTGTTGTTCCACACCCTTCTGCCAAACCCGCAAAAGGAATCTCGAGGCCGCTGCGACTTCAAGTCGTCACCTGGTCAGTCAGGCATACGTGGCTTTCTTGTTCAGCAGACTACTTAAAGGATCATGGGACTTAGTAACTGGGGTTCCTCAAAGGGCTCTTTAGAAAGGATCTATAGGGCTCCTTAAAGGGATCTGTAGGGTTTAGGGTTTACTTAAAGGATCATGGGACTTAGTAACTCGGGCTATAATTAGGGTAACTATACTTATAACCCCAATTAGGGTATGTATAACCTTACTTACTAAGTCCCATGATCCTCCAAGTAGGGGAACTGAGGGCTAGCCTTTGATTACAGTACCCCAAAACGGTTCAAGGTTACATACTCGACTACCCCAAATAGAATTTCGGGCTCAAAGTTCCCTAGTTAGGCAGTTTTTTGCCTGATACACATGATCTACTATTTAAAATAGGTGTGGGACTCCCGATGCCGTTGTCTCCCTCAAGTTGAGCAGGGATCTTTAAGTATGCAGCATTCCAAACATACACAAGATTAGTTCTTAGTCGAATTCCTGCTAATCACACAGAAACGCTCCTCGAAATGAACTGGAGGATCGCCTAGCCTAAGGTGTGGGAACCGAATTCAAACCCCTCATGGTTGGGATTCTTTGTGATTCTTCGTGGGTTTAACTACCCACAAAAATATATGAAATGTTACCCAACTATGACAAAGTAAGCCCCGGTTTATAGGGACCCAGAAAAGGACGTAAACAAAACCCTAAGGTTGGGATATCCCAGAATCCCCCTCGTTAATTAAGCCAATAAGATAGGGACATCCCACCCGAAAGTTTATGTTTGGGTGCTTCTTTGTTTCCTGAGTTTAGGGATGAGGAGATCTTCGAACTGTCGAGTCCCCCCTGGGGGCCTGAGGCCCCCATCAGCTCGTCTTGGCAGATCTTGCCGTCGCCATTCAGATCCTTAGCCAGGGCTGTGGGGTTTAGGGTTTTAGGGTTTAGGGTTTAGGGCCTAGGGTTTGGGCGTTTAGGGTTTAGTTTCTGGGGTTTGGGCGTTTAGGGTGTGGGGTCTAGGGTTTGGGCGTTTAGGGCTTAGGGCCTAGGGGTTTGGGGTTAGGGTTTAAGTCCTCAGTGCCCCTTTGTTTAAAGGGGTACTCGGGCTTGATACGGGGACCCGAAGATACAAAGGGAAAAACGGTACGTCTGGGAACACTGGCCCTTGGGGTTCATGTAGTAGGGCATCAATAAGCACAACAAGGTTTCGGGTACCTTATACTGTGAGTTTGCAAGGGCTAAAAGGTTATATGCTGCCGTGTCGTTTCAGGATGGCTAGCGTACTTGTAACCCTACCTCCTACGTCTGCTAATCCATTCAGTAGGGTTCAAGGTTGCTTCAGTTTGAAAGGAGTTCCAGGACCCCTAACGCCCAAACCCTACACCATAACGATCCCCTGAACCCTAAACGATCCTTATTGCCAGGATGGCAAGCTTGCTAATCGTCTGAAACTCCTTTTTGGGTAGTTCTCCAAACTGGGGCCCCTTTTGAGGTCCCAAGAATAGAACGGCACACTTGGGAAGTTGTCAAAATTAGGGTCCCTTTTTGGGTAATAGGGACCCAAAAAGGGACCATAATTTTGACAACCGCGCACTTATAAACTGACCGCAAAAGGGACCGAACTTGGAGAACGAGAACTACACAGGCAGAGCTGAAGGTTTAGGTGCGAGGTTTTGAAGTCGCTCCGGCAGCGCAACCCTAATTCAGGAATATACAGCGAATCATTCCATCACCAGCCCTGTAGAACTTCAGATTGGTTCAAGGGGCACTGCCAGTTCGAGATCCGAACACCCAAAACACTAAAACCGCTCAGCCGCAACATTCACAAAAGCCGCCAAGCCCCCCAAGGCGAAACTCTGAAACTCCAGGTCCCAACCCGCAAAAAACACTTCAACAAACAGTTCAACGGACCCTTTGAGAAACACTGTCAGGAACTCCCCTACACCCTAAACCCTTCGAGAGACCCTTCGACGAACTCTGACATCCTTGACTTAGTTGCTGAGTTCATAAGCCCCCCAAAACGTGTACACTTTCAGGTTTATAGTGGGTGATATTATTCCCAAAAAAACCTAAACCCTAAACCCTAAACCCTAAAAGTGTAAAGTGCATCCACTCAGCTACTAAGTTGAAGCCGAGGCGCTAGTTTCTGAAAAGTGCGGACCAGGTCCTTGGCAGCCGAACAGAGTGCTTTCAGGGTTCGTTTAAGAATCCTTTTAGGGCTCCGTTAAGGGTTCTACAAGGGTACCATAAGCGTTTAGGGGTTGGAGTTTAGGGTTTAGCATTGAAGATTCAAGTATTTGGAAAGATGGCGTGTGAAGATGCACCTCAACTTCTTGATGACGGTAGTCTCCACTCTTCTGCAAGCCCATGGCTGGTGCAGCTTGTATCAGACATTGATGCCCTTGATGCTATTGATGATACTGCTCATATACCCACTCGTATGCAAGGCAAACCACTACGGCTCTTTGCTGACGCTGAGCTTCGACATGATTTTCTATTACTTGATGTTGGTATCCTTGCGTCGTCGTTCCTCTCTGTATCCGTACCACCCCCAGCCTTTCAAGCAGCTCCCGCAGTACCCCAGCAGGCAAACCCAGCTGAAGATACTTACAAATGCGATTTTCTTTCTGATGATGGTGTTTCATGTGGAGCTTGTTTTTCCAACGCACGCTCGCTCGCCACCCATCGTTGGAGTGCTCATGGAGTCACAGTGCAAGTCCGCAGACTTGTGGTCACTAATCAATGCCCCTGGTGTATGGCAATCTTTACGTCCACAGCTGGAGCCCGAGCGCATGCACAAAATAGCTTCAGGACAGGTTTATGCCAGAGGATTGGGAGCAATACCGCCGTATCAGTACATGAGCCTCCGACCTTGGTTTGCCCGGAGTGTTCGCAACTCTTTCCGTCTTTCGTGGCTCTTCAGCGGCACATTGCCTCCCATTTGCCAGGGCCTGACATCCTACTTTGAACGAGCCATGCAAAACTGGTTTCAGAATCCAGGTGAAGCACCGGCTCCTGCCGCCAAGCGTGCACGGGGCAAAGGCAAACTCGATGACACCAAGATGCAGCAGATGATGCTTCTATGCTGCAAACTGGGGCTGGCGAATGCTCAATCTCTCCGGAATGTCATGGCTACCGTGTTCATCACCTTTCTTTTCCAGGGCGATTCTCCCATCATTATCGCGGGTATGAATGCGGGTAAGGAATACGCAGACCAGGCCAAGGGTAACAAAGGTCATAAGCTGGGTGCTCCGCAATTCTTCGTATGGGCGGCGATTTCAGAAGCTTTGGTGCAATGCGAGAAGGGTAGCGCAGAGCACAAAGGCATCCTCGACAGACATCGGCAATCAGTGACTGAAGTAAGCATGCTGAAAGGCCTTATTTTACATTGCCGTATCTCCCGATGCTACGACCGGGCCATGAAGCGGCTGACTCTTGCCTTTGGACCTGAACATGCGGAATTAAAGAATGCTGTTGTACAGTTGCTCCGTGATGCCGGGGGTGATGAAAAGGTAGGACAAGCCCCGCCGGGCAACCTCGAAAGACAGGTCCAAGATCTGTTGGACGAACTCACGGATTAGTGTCAGTTCTTTTGCAGGCGAGGGTATCTTGTGCAGTGTATGTAGCTAGATGCCGTTGCAAGCCAGGGCACCATGCCCTGGTACGGTTAGCCACCTTGGCCTTGTGCTGTGTGCTAACTACCCGTACCGTTGGGCCTGCGCCTCTGTCTCTTGGGAGGCCCGTAAGTGGCTTACTGAGGTTTTGGTTGAGCGCAGGTCCCTTCGGAGTCCACAGATGCGGCTCCTTGTTCACGAACCGTCTTGACGCATCCGAGTGGTTGTCAGTCAGTCAGTCAGTGAAGATTCAGGAGTTTAGGTTTAAGGTTGTGGGGTAGTTATACGTACCGTAGCTGGGTTTCATAAGCAGATACGACTAGAGTGACTAGAGCCACTCATTGTAGACCTAATGACTAAGTCCCCTATTCTCCAAACACTCCCAGCGACGGAGTGGTTCCTGCTTCAAGGAATTAAATGGGCTTTCTGGACAGGTGCGGGTGTTGGAGGCTGCGAGCTGCATCGCTTCTGCGGGTCCAAAAGAACTGGCTTTTATCCAAGGCCTGGCGTATCGTGGGGTTTCCGCCCATACTGAAAGCTCTCAGCAACGTCGAAACCCCGGCATGAAACGAAGATGCTGTGTGTTATCCGTTTCGGAGAACCGAAGCAGATCCAATCCTTGCAAGCCCCACTTGTGCTGAACCCCTAACTGAATGGCTAGAAGTCAGAAGACTATAGCAACCCGCTATTGAGTCCTCTGATCCTTCGAGCAACTACCCAGAAGCATAACCAAGATGTCATAATCGGAATCCCATGATTTCGGCCCTGGGAAACCGTAAACCCCTCCAAGTAGAGCTCACGCCCTGTAGACACGTCATAGATCCCATAAAATTGACAGCCTGAATCTTCTAGGCCTTTTGCAGAACCCCTAGCGAACCCCTATAAACCCTTGATGGAACCCGCTTCTGAAAGCCTGAATCCAGCTGGGCCATGGACGCCAACCAACTTCTCCTTCCGCCTCTGCTCGTAAACCTTTCTCACGCTTGGCGTTTAGGGTTTTGATGGGAGGCCAAAAGAGGGGTTTAAGATTCTTGGGGTAGGGATTCCTTAATATGAACCCTATTATGAGAACCCTCATCCCTACTAAACCCCCATGGGCTAAAACCCCTTTTGGCCTCCTATGAGGTTCATTCAATCCAAAGCCGTTTCCCCCCGCTTACGAAGTCTCCTAAACATCTAAGCAGGGTTCCCGGGAGTTTCCGAAAATAGGGGACCCTAATATAATATACCCTCCTCCTATGGCGTTTAGGGCTTAGGCTTCAGGAGCTCAGGATTTGCCACATCAGAGGACTTGCCGTTCGGAGTTTCAGAGTTTACGTAGGAATTTTCAGGTTTCAATCATTACCCAGAGGCCCCAAACTGGTTCCTTTTTGGGGCTCATATATAGAATCCTATAAGGTAATCCCAAAGAGGAACTACTTTGGGGCCTATGGGTAGCGGCTTTCAGGGATCTTGATTTCGGAGTTCGGGTGTTGGGTGCTACCACAAGTTTCCATGGTAGTTCCTCTTTTTGGTTAGCTAGTTTTATGGTTAGGATTAGGATCCTATTTTTTGAGATTTTGGTTAACCAAAAAAAGGAACTACAATGGAGACTGTAACTAGGTTCCTGGACCGAGGAGCAACAGCATCAGGGCTTCGGGAAACGTGCTTCGACACAAGACCCCCGAAGAAGCCCTAAACCTCTAGCTATACGCCCAAAGAAGGTACTTCCTACTGCCGGCTCCAGCCAAAAGCAGAGCGTCAGAAAAGTTCGAAACTCACACCAGACTCGGCATAGTTCAATGGCTTCTTGTGGAGACCCTGAACCCATAACCTCCGCCCCTAGAACCTGAAAGAGTCCTTCCGAAGATCTCGATCCGCCGGCATCCCCGCCTGCTGCGCTTCGCGATCCTGTGCAACACTGTACGGCGCGACGTAAGGAAATGTCAAATCATAGGGACCCTAATAATAAGGCCCACTTAAGGAAGCACAATCCCCTACCCCCCTCCCCCTTACCCCCATGAGGGTCCCTATAACCAAGGAAAAACGTTTGAAACAAAACCAACAACAAGCATCAGAACAACACCACTCGTAATGGAAGAACAAAAATATCCACAGTAATCCGAATAGTGAGAATGCGAGTGAGCGGGTGGAAACTACTTACCGGATCTACTTCTAGATGCTCCCGGGAGCCTGGGTAAAGTAAGCTCAAACATCCTGACACCAAATCCTTGACCCCAAACCCTAAACCCTAAACCACTAATCCCTGAAATCAGAAAGGCTTAAACCCTGAACCTTTGAATTCCAACCCTTACACCCTTCAGCCCTAAATCCTTTCTGATCGAACCGACCTTCCTGCCGCCTCTCTGAATGCTTGTCATAAGGCTGGAGACATGCTCAGTGCTGCCTACCCAGACCCCCGGTAAAATCCCAAAAGTAGATCCCTTAATGGGGGTTCCTGTAAAAGCACCCTTAGTAGCATAGGGCCCCATATTAGGGAATCTACTTTCTAGATGCTCCCTGGGGGTCTGGGTAGGGACTCCATAGCGCCTTTAACTCAGGATTTACGGTTTAGGGCTGAGGGTTTAGGGTTTAGGATTTAGGGTTTAGGGTTTAGGGAATCTTCCATCAATGATTAGATTACCCCGAATTGATAAGGAGGTTAAGTAATGGGTTTCTGCATGTTTAGGAATGCTGGGTTCTCTGGGCACCCGCAACCCTGCAGCTTGCGGAGGGTGGTTGGGAAGTCCACTGATGATGCACCCGCACATGAAATGCATACACTACACTTGTGGGACTCTGCAAGCCCTATAAAAACCGAAAGACTTTATTAACCATTCAACCCCAAATCCTCAAGGTGGTCCCAACTCCGTCGGTGCAGACATTGCTCTAAACCCCGTGCTCTAAGCTGAAGGTAACCCTAAACCCGAACCCTGTGGACCTACACCCTCTAAAAGCCTAAACCCGAAACCTCAACCCTAAAGCCTGAACCCTAAGCCCCAAAACGGTCCGAAACCTTAAACCCTTCGACCGGAGCTCCTGCGACGCTTGCTCGAAGGCACTGTTCACGATCACGGCCGTGACCAAATTCATCAGAACCTGGCAGGTCGTACATGAGCTGCGGGGCTTAGCGTCTAGGAGGTTTAGCCTTTAAACTTCGGCTTTAGGATTTAGGGCTGCGCTCAAGGTTTTCGTCCTCTCATGACTTCTGCGTAGATCTCAGTGGCAAACTCATGTTCCGCTGTAGCACTTCGAGAAGATTTTCAGATGGCCCGCCGCAAGGCTGCCAAAGCTGAGCCTGAGACCCCGTACGCACCAAACCCGTCCAAGCTCTAAACCAAATCCCAAAACCCTGCGCACCCTACAAACTTGGGGCCTTGAAACCACTAAACCCTCAAGCCGTAACCCTGAAACCCAGTCCCAAAGCCCCAAAATCTCTAAACCCCTCGGGCCTTCAAGCCTCAAACCCTCAACCCTAAAAGCCCAGTTCAACAACTCTGAACCCTTGCGAACTAGGGCCTTAAGCTCCTGAAAGCCTCTGACACCCCCCCCCCTTTTCAACCCTAAGCCTCAAACTCTGAATCTTAAACCCTAAATCCACCCTAAACCCTAAACCCCAAGCCCCGGAACCCAACGTTTCCGGGAGCCCGGCCACGAAGACTAGCAGGATCAGGACCTGAACCGAGTAGTTTAGGGTTTATGGGGCTTAGGGTTCAGGGTTTAGGGTTAGGGTTTAAAGGGTTTAGGGACATATGGGCTTTGATGCTTAGTTTAGGGTTTCATCCGCATAGGGATCCATAAGGGCTCTGTTGTGGTTTACAGGTCAAGGGCGAAGAGGCGTTAGGTGTGGGGGTCTGTTACTATATAACTAAAGTATACCGGAAAAGAAGTACAATATGGAACTCTGGAAGAAGCGTTGCCACTGTTATTCAGGCTTCTATACTTGAGCCCATACATAAAAACCTTGGAACTAAGCCCCATAGCCAGGACCGTCCTTGCGCCGTTAAGTAGACCCAGAGAGCCCAATACCCCTTAATTAAGGAATATAGCTTAAATTATAAGGGGGCGCATAATATGATTTAAGCTATATTCCTGAATTAAGGGGTATTGGGCTCTTTGGGGAGCTACAGAGCCCCTAGTAGCCGGTTTAACAGGTCCACTAAAGCGCAGGGATGTCGCCGCGAAAAGCTTCAAAGAAGGAGCCCAATCAACATGATCATATCCTGCTGCACCTTAAGGTAACGTAGGGCTTAGGGTTTTTTTGAACTCCTTTTTCCAGGGGGCGGCAGTCTGCAGCATCCTAGAAGGCCTGGAGGCCATTTAGGGTTTGAGGTTCAGGGTCTAAGGTCTAAGCTTCAGAGCTCATGTGCAGGGACATCCCAACCCTAAACCCTAAACTCTAAACTCTCAACCCTAAACTCGAAACCCTAAACCGTAACCCTAAACCCTATACTCTAACCTCTAAACCCTAGACGCTGAACCCTTATTTCATGTTCCAACTTTCTGGAGTTCGTCTTATGCTGATAATGTGCCTGTGACGGCTTTTGCCATGCCGTTTGCAGGTCCTTGGGCTTAAGTTTCGCTTCCTTTGAGGGTTCCTTTAAGGGTGAGATACACAGTCTGCTAGGGTTCTATGTGGGTTTGGGGATTACGAGTTGGTGGGTTTCGTGTTGAGGGTTGAGGGGGTTCTTGGTTGGGGGCTTACGGCTTAGAGTTCAGGATGTTGGGTGTTGCACATGGGGTTTACGGCTCCGAACTTGTATGGTTTTACGGTCTTTGCTTCAATACCTCTTTTCCAGGGTTTAAGGTCTTAGGGTCTGGGTTCAGGGCAGGGGGGGTTAGCCTAGGTTTGACTATGCCGGAAACCCGGAAGCGTGTTTTGGAGCAATTGTGTTGGTACTGAGTCGCCGGCATGAAAATAAATCGCCAGCGTCCAGTCCTTCTTGACAAGGGGCCGGTAGATGGCCTGCTTCAAACCCCAAAGACTAAACTCCTACACCCTCAACCCCTGGACCCCTTAGATTACAAACTCTAAACCATTGGAGCCCTCAACCCTCAATCCTACTCCCTCAACCCTGGAACCCTAAATTTTTTTAGATCATCAACTCTAAACCGCTGGAGCCCTCAACCCTCAATCCCTGAACCCTAAACTCCTACACCCTCGACCCTGGCACCCGAAGCCTTCGATTTTGAACTCTCACCCCCTGGACCCGAAACCCTACATCCCTGAACCCTACACCCTACCCAGAGACCAATACCCCTTAATTAAGGAATATTCCTTAAATCATATTAAGGATCCTACTATAATTTAAGGTATATTCCTTAATTAAGGGATATTGGAGTCTCTGGGTAGACTCCTACACCCTAAACCCCCTGAAACTTCGAACTTCCCAACTCCTAGGGCCCCCAAGAAAGCACAGAAGCAAACATTAGGATAGGGATATCCCTTAGAAGCTGCCCCCACCCTGTAATAGTGACCATAAGGCTTATATTAATATTGTATTAGGGCCCTATAACTTTCCTATTATACCACTATTACAGGGTGGGGGCAGCTTCTAATATATCCCATATAAACCCAATCAGGTAGGGATATCCCCACAAAATGCTCATGCTTATGCGGGCGATTCTCAGAATTAGGGTCCCTTTTTGGGTCCTTAATATAATACGGCACCTATAAATTAGGGTACCCAAAAGGGGGACCCTAATTTTGACAACCACCCATGTGCCTTTTTGGGGTCCCTAATTTAATTGCTCGGCTTCGGTGTTGGGATGCCAGGTTTCACGAGGATTTTGAAACCGAGGGTCGTCAAAGGGCTTACCCTAGGGATCTAAGGACTCATCTATTAAGGCTTTTGGGCCCAAAGACCATACTATACAAAGGGCCTACCCTAGGGGTCTAGGGACTCATAGATTCAAGCTTTTGGGCCCGAAGACCATACTATATAAGGCTTTTGGGCTATTTTGACCCCTAGGGTTATAGGTTTCCGTCCTCTTCGCGGCGGCGGGCGTGGTCACGTTCTACAACTCTTCCAGAACTTTTGGAGCTTGCAGGGTTTATATGCCTAGACCCTACACCCGAAACACATACACCCGAAAGCTGAGCCTCAAATGTTACTGGAACCCTAAACCCTAAACCTTAAACCCTAAACCTTAAACCCTAAACCCTAAACCTTAAACCCTAAACCCGAAACCCTCCCCCCTTGACGGCCCACCGCCACTGAATCCATGGAGACGAACTGGACCAACGTCATCCTCGGCCCGGGCAAAGGCGTCGTTTCAGATTCGTGGGGGGTTTAAGATTTATGGTTTAGGGTATAGGGTTTAGGCTTTAGGGTGTAGGGGTTTAGGGTTTAGGGCTTAGGGTAGGTATTGTACTTGGAGGTTCATGGGTAGCTATAAGTAGGATTATAAGTAGGGTAACTGCACTTATAAGCCATATTAGGGGGCTTATAACCCCACTTATAACTACCCATGAACCTCCAAGCAGGGTGCGGGGTTTCTGGATTTATAGGGTTTAGGGCTTGAGGTTTAGGGTTTAGGTGTTAGGATTTATTTTGTTTATGGTTTAGGTTTCAAAACTTCTGGGTTTGGGGTTGAAATTTATTGGGTTTGGAGTTCAGGGTTTAGGGAAGGTTCAGGGTCGTGGTTTGGGGATCAGGCAAGGGTCGCTGGCATTAAGGGGCTTAGAGCTTAAGGACTTGAGGCTTAGCGGTGTATGAGGCGGGTTTAAGTTTAAGGGTTTAGGGGTTTGGGGAGTTCTGGCTTCGGGGTTTACAGCGGTAAGGTCTAGGGTGTTCTAAACACCCTGACTCTACGTCAGACCGGCCCTCAAGCATGCCCATACCCACTTCAAACATCCCACAGCCATGTCGTGAAATTGAGGAGTGAAGGCAATGCAGATGTAAAAGCACGGGGTGGCTGTTTGGGGTGTGCTTTTGGACATCGACATTCCTAACCCAAACTTAAACACTAAGCCACTAAGCTCTAAACCCTAAACCCTGATGCAACCCCTAACCTTATACTCTAAACCCTCAACCCCTAAACAGCTACACTCGAAACCCGAAGCCTTTTTCTGGAAATCCATAGCCGACCGCGATGATGGGAGGCTCGGCGGAAGCGGCAGAAGCAATAATTTAGGGATTGGGGTTTAGGCTTTAGGGCTTGGGGTGTAGGTTGCAGGGTTCCGGGCTCATGGCTTCTGGTTTAGGGGGCTTAGGGTTTTATATAGGGAGCAAAGACAAACATCTCAACCCCACGCCCTAACCTGAAGTTCTGCAGCAGGCCGTACCACCGTAACTGCAGCGAATATACCTGCCATGATGCTTCTTGCAAAGGTCCTGCTTGCATGTTTCTACCTATACATTAATACGACGCATGCAGACGACGACTATTGCGATGACGATTACGACTACGCCTGAAGCGATTACTATGACGACTGCCACGACTACTGGAACGACTGCTAGTGCTCCTTCTCCTACCGCGTCTATGACCGCTGACAACAACGATGACAGAGCAACCGCTGGCGGTGTTGTGTCGAAAAGCCTGAGCGGTCTCCATTCTTAATCCATCTTTGTGAAAGTTCAACACCCCCCGTCAGCGAGACTTTGGCTGCCGCAGATCTCCAACATGTCCCGAAAGACATGGCTCGGTTCATGGTTTCGGGTCTAGGGCTTAGGACATCTTAGGAGCTAAGGTGTAAGGTTTACGGAGTGTGTCGGAAGGTCTAGCGTTGTGGGATTCGTGGGATGACAGTTTAGGCTTGAGGATACTCCAGAAACTCTTTTGAACAAGGCTCAACGGTTCTTCATAGGTTCCAGGCCCCTTTTCTGCAGTGACTTATATGGCTTTGTTGAGTTTCTAGTCAAGGGTGTTCATAAGATGCTCTTACCGCTTGAACGACGGTTCCCTTAACGTGCCGCCAATCGTTTGCCTACGAGTTTACCGGGTTGTCTACAGCGGTTTTGGGGTTCAATCTGCCTGGGCTGACTATGAACGGTTAAACTGTAAGTCTGCATATATCCAACACCGTCAAAGGTTATGTAAACTGGGTCATAATAGCTCGAATAAGGGTTTGGGGTCTATTATATAGTATAGCTATCACGTGGAATCCAGAGGAACCCTTACGGATGAATCTCGTGAATCATTCCCCCCGCCTTCTCCCCCCCCATATTCTAGTTACTCTTCTACGGAGGAAGGCTTTTGGAGTTTCCGGCTTCGGGATCGCTGAAGCTTTGTCAGCTACCGAGCCGAGCCCATGCCGTGCATGGAGCATCGGGGAACTCAGAAAGCAAGTTGAGGCATGAAGGGTTTAGGCTTTGGGGTTTAGAAGGTCATGTAAGTTATACAGGCTGTAGATGGTTTTACATGGATCGTAAAGCTCTTCAAGAGATTTGTATGCTTTCGTATGGATTTTGCAAGAGTGGTCTGGGGATATCGGATGGAGGATGCATGGTTCGGGGATCAAGTTTAGATTTGAGGTTTTTGGGTTAGCACGCGCGACTATAGCAGGGTAAAGATGAATAGGGCCTGCTTGCCACCCTACTTGCTGAGTCTTCCCGAGCTACAATGCAGTGTTACAGTATGTGAATTCCCTAATCCTAGCATCCCAAAGCGATTGAAACCTGCCGCTCCAGCGCAAAAGGATCAGTCCTTTCCCGCAAAGCTGTCGGGTTGCAGCATTTAGGGTTGAGAAGTTTGAATTGGTGCTTTAGGTGCAACAAGCCGGCCTTTGAGTTTGGCAGTGCTACAGGGGGAGTTTCCGAAAAAAGGGACCCTACTATAGTACCCTAAATAGTAGGATCCTTATAATAAGGACCCCAAAAGAAGGTACCCCCCAATTTTCGGACACTCCCACAGTGCTACATCAAAAATCAAAAGAGCAAGCGATAAAAAAATCGGTCCCTAAGGGTCCATGTACTCATGTAGTATATACTTTGGCTTTACTTGAAGGCCAAAGTATGGACAAAATGGGCACATGGACCCTTAGGGGTCTAGGGGGTCCGCCTTAACCTGCCAAAACCTATATTTTGTGGGCTCTTGTTACAGAAAGGTAGGTCAAAGCTGGGGTTTCTGCAACCCTAAACCCTAAACCCTAAGCCCAAAACCCTAAACCCAGAGCAAACCTTTGCACCTAGCCCTGTTTACGTCCTTTGGGACCGAGGCGTGGGGCTTCGCAGGTTCGTTCGGGTTTAGGGCTTTTGGGCTTTTGGGCTTTTTGGGTTTAGGGTTTGGGGTTGAGGGCTTAGGGCTTAGAGTTTAGGGTTGAGGGTTTTAGGGTTTAGGGCTTAGGGCTTCGGGTTTAGGGTTTAGGGCTTATAGGGCTTGGGGTTCAGGGCTTAGGGTTTAAGGTTTGGGGTGTAGGGTTGAGGGCTCTTTCGAACTTGAGAACCAAAAGAAGGAAACTGGCATCAGATGGTCTTTGGAGGTTGAGGAAGCTTACTTCATTTTGTTCGTGGGATGCTGGAGCACATTGGCGGCCGAGGTCTATACGGGGTGAAGAAAGAGGCATTGTAGATTGTAGACTTCAAATAACAGCCTACCCTCAACCCTAAACCCTAAAGCCTGCAGCCTAAACCTAAAGCTTATTTTGTCACCTGTCTGCGTCCTTTCTGAATTTCTGATCTCCGACAACACTGGGCACCCAAACCCTGAGCCCGAAACCCTGAACCCAAGTTCCGAAAGCTTCTCAACGTGTCGATTTCAAGAGTCCCAGAATTCTGTAGACTTAGGGCTGTATATTCAACAGTAACGGAAACTAAAAGTTATCCCAAACAGAGACCCGTTTACCTCCACACACACTAGTGTCCATCACCCATGCGTACTTATATATTGGCCCCTATATGCAAACCCCTCACAAATACCCCGCCCAGCAAAAATCCGGAAAGAAACCTGTTGTAACGATCAGCATGCAGGCCCCTATGCTGAAAGGAGCCCATTCTAATTGTAGTATGCAGGCCCTATAGTACTAAACCTAGACCCTTAACCCTAAGCACTAACGAAACCCTAAGCCCAAAGACCTAAAACTTAAGCCAAAAGCCCAGAATTACTGTCGAATAGCCTCATCCCAGGTCCTCCTGCGGAAGCGGAAGCATGGCCGCAATCGCCAGCTCGGGCCCATAGGAGAAGAAGATGAGGGCAAAGTTAGCGACCTGCTGCACACAGTCTAGGGCCTTAAGCATTCGAACCCATGGTTATTCAGGATTCGGATTCGGATGAATACTTCGAGTCAAGCTTTTTTTGCGGATACTCTACTAGAGCTCGAAAAGGATTAAATACAAGGGCATAACTGAAGGAGAATAAGATTTCTGCACGTTTGGTACAGAGTTTCGGCTTTGAGGGTTGAGGGTTTAGGCTGAAGGAACTAGATTTTGGGGTTTAGACTTTAGGTTGCGGGGTCTAGGGTATGAGTTTGGGGTTTGGGGGCTTGGAGCTTAGAGCTTGGGTCATTGCAAGCATGTTGTGAGGACTTTCCAACACCTTTACACCCTCAACCTTATACCCTAAACCCTCACCCTTATCCCTGGACCCTCAAATCGTCCTAGGATTTTGTCCAAAGGCTTGCGCAGGTCTTCAAAATGCAGATTTCCAGCTTTCCCAGACTTAAGACGATCTCTACAACTTGGTTCGGAGGTCTCCCAGGGGCCGGTGTGAGCTTTGCAAGCTGGAGGTGATTTCATGAGCGAACCAAGGAATGACTAAATGAAAAGCTATAAGGGTTCCTTAAAGGGATCTATAGGGGTTCTATAAAGGGTTTAGGGTCTAGAGTTTCCGAAAAATTAGGGGTCCAGGATACCCAGTAACCTAAGAATAAAAAGGCCTCTCTTTTTGGTATTGGGTAACTTTATAAGGAACCTAGGACTACAAAAAGGGAATAAGGGTACTACCGGGCATCCTAGGCAAAGGGTTGAGTGCTTGGAGGCTCCGGCTCCATCCATCGTTGCAGCGAGCTTGATGGATAGCTGGGCCTTCGGAATTACAGGACTCACCCTTGTCCTTTTAGAAATAATAGACAGAGCCCTATACCTATATCCCTTAGTAGGAATTGTTTAAGAAGGTCTACTAGCCGGTCTGTTTATTCTGATGGGGGGAACCATGCAAGGACTTGCTTGAAGTCGGTCTCTCGCAACCCCTGCACGAACCTGGGTTGTTAAGGTGAACTCCCACCCCTAAGCCCTAATATGAAAGCCCAGTATTTCCCGACACCATTCCTTAAAGGGGTCCTTAATGCAGTTGAAGATACCACGGGACCCCAT